TGCTCTGGGTGACCCTGCTTGGGCAGGGGGTTGGGCTGGGTGACCCACAGAGGGTCCTGCCAACCCCTGCCATGCTGGGATTCTGTGATTCTGGGTACAAGGCTTTGTCCCAGAGGGGAGGCTGGACACCCACGGGTGCCCTGACGCTCCGTCCCCGGCCGTGTCAGCCAGGATGAGCACCCGGCCGGGACGCGCCGCCCAGCTCCCTGGGGAATCCAGCCCAGCCTCTAGCCGATTAAATCCCCGTTTCAGTTCAAGGACCCCTCGTGTCATCATCATAAACTGACACCTCGGCCCACCCCACACCCCACTGCCACGCAGCTCTGACGTTAACGAGAAGAAAAGCTCCCCGGGTCCAACAGTTCCTTCTTTGTTTGTCTTAACTTCTAAGAATTTTGGGGTTTTTTTTACGGACAGAACTGTTAAAATGCCTTTTCATTTTTTTATTGTTTTTTTAAACTAAAAGTGCTGTCTTTAACACCGCCACCAACCCCTGGTTTGTACCACCGGCAGTTCTCACAATGCAGAATCAGCCGATCCACTCCGTCTTCCCAGGCGCTCATTCAGCTGCGTAACAGAGCCGAATCTTCACCTTCAGCCAGTCCTGTTTAGCTGTCATCCCACTGCTATTTTTGACAACCACACTGATAATCTAATTAGCACTTTATTCAAAAGACTTTGCTTGACAGGAGAAAGAACGTGTCAGTAAAGATCATTCATACAGATCTATTTACTACAGACATACCTCTACACACAGACTATATGTATAGCTACACGTCATCTGGCTACTGTTACACTGTGTATATCCCTTGCCACACACTTTTATTTGGTTAATTTTATAATTTCTTTTGGACTAATACGGGTTTTGGTTTAAAAGCACTACTCTGAATGATCCCTGAACCTAAGAACCAAGCTCCCTGAAGATCATTTCAGCCGCGTGTTCGTTGTTTACACACTGATCAGCCGCCTCGGGTGGGTGCACGTCAGCTCCTTCGCACAGGTAATGCCCACCCCTTTTTACAGAAAAATCCCTTGCTCTGTTTTACTCTGGGATTCTTAAACACAACTTCATTGAGGTTTGAACACCTGACACTCTCCACAGTTCCTCTTCAGAAAACAAAAAAGGGGGGACCTTAGAAATGCTTATAAATATCTGCAGGGTGGGTGTCAGGAGGATGGGGCCAAGCTCTTTTCAGTGGTGCCCGGTGACAGGACAAGGGGCAACGGGCACAAACTGAGGCACAGGAAGTTCCGTCTGAACATGAGGAAGAACTTCTTCCCTCTGAGGGTG